GCACTAATGTCCAAACACAGGTATGTGAACAGACATGATTACATATCCAATACTAATATTAAAACCTTCAAGAAAAATGCACCTCAATGTAATAGTATAGTTGAGATAAATGACAATCTCGCTAAGTCAAAATTAAATTTGACTAAAGCAGATAACATAATTATTGCGGTCATCTCCCAAATAAATAATGTGGCCAGTGTGAGAGATTGGGTGATAGACTCTGGTGCTACTAGGCATATTTGTGCAAATAAAAATGAATTTTTGTCTTACACCCAAGTTGAGGAAGGAGAAGAAACTATTTATCTTGGCGACTCAAGAACAACTCGTGTTCTTGGAAAGGAAAAATTCTTCTCAAACTCACATCTGGTAAAACTCTAGCATTGAGTGATGTATTGCATGTTCCTAATATCCAAACCAATTTGGTTTCTGTGGGGTTATTAGGAAAAGTTGGAGTGAAGGTTTCATTTGAAAATAATGAGGTCGTATTGACCAAAAATGATATTTTTGTGGGCAATGGATATTGTAACTATGGTTTATTTGTGCTTAATATTTCTGATACTAGCAATGAAAATGCATCTTCTTCTGCTTATATGGTTGAGTCAATTTCTTTGTGGCATGCTAGACTAGGACATGTTAATGTCGCGTATATAAAGAAAATGCAGTCGCTAGGATTAATATCTGGTTTAGACTCAAGTAATATTAATAAGTGTGAAATATGTGTTGAAGCTAAAAGTACAAGAAAGGCTTGTTTTTCTGTAAATAGAGAAACTGAATTGTTATCTTTAATTCACACTGATTTAGGCGACTTGAAGCAGACTATGACTAGAGGTGGTAAAAGATATTATGTGACTTTTATTGATGATTTTTCTAGATATACTAAGTTGTATTTGCGTAGAAATAAAGATAATGCATTTAATGCTTTTATTTCTTATAAAACTAAGGTTGAAAATCAACTTAGTAGAAAAATCAAGAGAATTAGATCAGATAGAAGTGGAGAATATTTAACTTTAAATGATTTTTGTGAAAAAAATGGAATAATTCATGAAGTAACTGTCACACCTCCTTTTTCCTACACCTGTAAGGGTGTAAAGGAGTTTTTCCAATTAAAGGACAATCGGAACGGGATTTGATTATTAAGATTTCAGAGTCGCCACTTGGGAGATTGATGGTGTCCCAAGTCACCGGTTGAATCCTGATCCGAGGAAATTATGACTCTGTTACAGTCCACGAACCAGAAATCCGAGTAAGGAATTCTGTTAACCCGGGAGAAGGTGTTAGGCATTCCCGGGTTCCGTGGTTCTAGCACGGTCGCTCAACTGTTATATTTGATTTTATCTGATTTCAAAACATGTTCTAGCTTATGCTTTTAATAGTAAACCGCTTTTATTATTTTTATTTTTTAATAAGAATTGCAACGTCGTGAAAATGCGCCTCGAACCACGTCGCACCAGTGCACCCGTGATTGTTAACACATTTTTGACTTCGTTGAGATTTGGATTTGGGTCACAGAAATGTGCACCCACTTTTAGGAAGGTAAAATTATTTAAATCGCGTGCCTAAAGAGACTATCGCGTTATTATCTTTGGGGAAGGCCGTGAAATTCGCTAAACAGCCCATCCCGAAGTCTAAGTATTTTAGTATAAACATTTGTCGAGTGCCCCGCAATTTATTTGTTTTGTTTAGCGAGGCTCATCTCGTTTTATTATTAAAAGGCAAACCGGGAGCAATTTATAATTTTCTATTTTTATTTGTCCCTAAAACAAAAGGAAAAGTCCTAATTAATCATTGTTTAAAATTATCACGAATTTCGACCCTTAGCCAGATCGGGCCTTGAACATAATCCACATAAGGAAATCATCACTCAGGGGAGCATAAAGAATAAGCCATGTCAAATGTGGCCCAGGTCCAATCGAATAGGCCATTATATCAAGACCTGGGCCGTCTGTTCCAATATCAAGGCCCGATCTATGTGTCCTTTTAACAAAACTCAACTACTCGAATTAACAAGATGTCGATCCTTCGAATTTCAATTTCAAGCTCCAACTATTTTTCTTACTGGCCTACTGTCGAATTCTCAGATGCTAACAAGGTGAAAGAAAACAGGTTTGAAAAGTGATTGTATTAACACTAACTATTTTGAATTAGTTATAGCTAACATTACTAAGTCAGCACTCAAGTGACTTGTGAATTCGAAATTACTTCCTGCTTCAGTTTCTACCGATTTCAATAATCAAACTACACAGGAACAAATTTAAACGAGCTAAAACCAGTGAATAATTCCCAGCTCGAGTTGTTATTCAATTTGATAAAAAAAAGTTTATACGAACACGCAGGCTAGATTAACTACNAATAAATCTTATAATTGTAAAAGTAGACACATGAAATTGAGACATGATGTCAGAAAGCAGCTGCTGAGAGATGGAATAATTTCCATTGATTATGTGAAGTCAGAAGTTAATTTGGCCGATTGTCACGACCCAAACCCCGGTCGTGATGGCGCCCAACACACTGCTAGGCAAGCCCGACCATTATTTGGTTAAAGTTAAATAAATGGTCGGGCTTGCCTAGCAGTGTGTTGGGCGCCATCACGACCGGGGTTTGGGTCGTGACACCGATCCTCTGACTAAACCCGTGGGAAGAAAATTAATCCTTCAAACCTCAAAAGAGATGAGGTTAAGGCCGACATGTTATCAATAGAGATGGTAACCCAACCTATGTGATTGGAGATCCCATTAAGTAGGTTCATATGGGTAATAACAAGTCAATATTGGCACTGATGCACTAAAAGAGAGTGCTTGACTGCTACTAATTGAGAGGCTGAGTTAAAACACTTAATGAAATTCATAGTCATTATGGATGGTGTATTTAAAAGCAGTATACGCTTGATGAATTCACCTATATGAGAGTGGAGTGGGCCGCTCCTATGAGATTTTGGCCTAGCCTCTAGAGCTCGCATGAATAACCAGGCACGCGCATGGCCTATCGGGCGCAAAACCGAGTTGAACAGCAAAATTACCGGGGGTCAAAATGTGATTGATAAAATCTCTGACTTACAATAAGAATTATTGGTTCATAGAAATATTACATTTCACCAGTAATTCTGTGAGTTAAATTTTATTGGTCTAAGTTTGGTTCATAGTCCAGAAGACACCAAACCTATTACATTTGGACCATACAAATCCAGCAAGTCTTACTCTTTCCTACTCTATATTCCTAAACAAAAAAGTCTTTTAATGTGGGGGATTGTTGATAATTATTGGTAATGTGTCAAAAGATTTTTTACATGTGGCATCGGTTTAGAAGATTGTGTGACAAATGGCTCCACTAAGCCAAGTGGCTATGAATTCCCACCATGTGTCACTTTGCATGAAGATATGTAGCCAAATGGCTAAGCCATAAACAAGTGGCAATTCTCTTTCATGCAATGAAACATTTGGCAATATAAGAAGCTTTCCTTAGACCTATAAATAGCCATGATTAGGCCATCATTCTTCAATCATCAAACACCAAGAAAAGCTAACGGCCATTAGCAAAGAAGAAATTCTTAATTCTTCTTTCTCTCCTATACGTCCCTCTCTTTCTAATTTCTTCTTTTATAATATTTTGATTAGCATAAGATATTAGTTGCTCTTTCTCTTCCAACTTGCTGGATTTATTATTTAATTTTGCTGATTCTTGTATCCTCTAAATAAATGGAGATGTGCTTGTTTAATCCTGGAGAAACATTTCACATTGCTGAAATAGTTTCTTAGGACAGTGCCTAGCACGACTCAAGCCAGTTGGTGTATTTCCGCTCACAAATTATTTTACTGCAGTATTATTATTATTGTTGTTATTTTCGGTGTCATTTCCCTACAATTATACTGTGTATATAAATAATATATAAGGTTTTAGAGGTGTATAATCTATACTGAACATTCTTTGTCGGGGGTTTTTTTACTTCTTTTAAATTTGAACACTTTTGTGAAAATTTCTAACTCCGCCACTGTACATAGTATGTAGTTGTTGTGTCGGAATAATTTATAGCAATATTCAAAGACATTATGGCATATCGTAAGATTTAATTAGGGGATCAAATAATTTGTATTTTGAGAAAGGGCAAATCTTGCCAATTAAGTCTTTGATTTAATGCTTCACATGCAGGTTTATCAGAAGTGTGACTATCCGTATTTCAAGTAATTCTTGATGTTCAATGCGCCTGCATTCATGCCTTTTTTAGGTCAATAAATATTGAAGAGAAATAGTTTATTTTTTCAATCGGGTAAAAAAAGAATCATTTACGATTAAAAAAGTACTGTCGATAAACCTGTCCATTGCATAATCTATTTCAACTTAAACTTACAGGAAAATTAGTGTATTAATGAACTTTTTTCTTACTTCAAATAGTATTTAAGTTATTAAGAATAATCGTTTGCAATGAGGACCTGAGGTGATTTTTAAAGCTCTTCTCTTTAATAAAGTAAATCAAAAGGCGATACCTTCTCGTTGAGATACGAAATTTTTGATGTTAAAGAGTTTCAGTAATACTAATACATACATCATATTATATTATTTAAAACTTCTTCATATGATCGTAATTTTTTTAAAATCATTTTAAGTAATAAGATTTAAGTGTAAGAAATAAGTATTTTCGTTGTTCAGTATAAATATAGTACTCCAGTAATAAATTCTTTTGCAAAAGATTATTGTATGGTAATATCGCGGCTTTACGAGGACGAGATTTTCTGAGCACGCGGCAGGGCCATCTAACTTCTTAGTATAAACCGACACGTGTCTGTTTTGTCGGTTACCTTAGCTAACATATGTTTGGTATCATCTTCCAAAGTCCTTGTCTAAACCACGTGGATTATAGGCACTCTCAGAACCTACCACGTGTCACTTCCTCGTTCATTTACGTTTCACCTCTCAGGGGTTTCTCCCACGCAATAAAATTCAACCCCTCCTATTTTTTCGATTTCCCAACCCTTTTAGTCTTCTCTTCTATAAAAAAAAAAAAAAAACCCTCTTATGGCTGACTCCGACCTGCCGGCGACATATTTTTCGGCGAGTTTGAAAACTCCGACGAATTAACTTTACAAGCTTTATTGGAGCTTTTTTATTCCCATTTTATAAAAACAAATCTCGCTTTGTTTAAAATCCTACTCCAATATTCTCATTTGCTGTTTATATTTTTTAATTAATGGAGAAAGCTGAAGAAAACAGAGGAAACGAGTGTTTTTCAAGGGATTTATTGCATAATATCATCAACGGAAAAAGGAATTGTGAATTTGATGAAAATGTGGGGGCTGAAGATGATATAGAGCTAAGTTTGGGACTTTCATTGAACGGTAGATTTGGGATGGAACCAAAAAGAGAAAAGAGGCTCAAACGTTCTTGTTCCTCGATAACAAATTTTGTGTTTTCTTTTGGTGATAATTATAATAATAGTTATGGAAATGAAATTCAATTTGGTGATGCCATTTACGCACCACTTAATAGGACGTGTTCTTTGCCTACGGAAACAGAGGAGGAATGGAGAAAAAGGAAGGAGTTGCAATCCTTAAGGCGTTTGGAAGCTAAGAGGAAAAGATTGGAGAAAATGAAGAATGTTGTTAAAGGTGTTGTAAAGGAAAATGAAGAAAATGGGAATTCTTATAGTAATGGTACTGAAACTTGTGGGAATTTTTTACAGTCTTCAGGTGGGTCGTTGGGATCACAGGGAAGTGGTTCTGGTTCTTCTGGAATTTCTGAATTTGAGAGTCATCAACCTATTCAAGGTATCAGAAAAAAAATTCCTTTTTTATTTTTACCCTTTGTTAGTTTGTTGTTAATTACTGTTCTTGTAATGCCGCGACCTTAGAAAAGGAGTTGCCTAGGTTTGTACACAAGAAGAGAAAAGTGTCGATCTATCCTTGCAATTCTAGTTTCATGCTAAGTTTATTTCCTTGTAGCGGTTGAAATGAAGAATGTTTGCAGTGTATTTCTGGTTGTTTATACTCATTGTAAACCTCCTTTAATTTCTCTTTGTTGCAGGGCGGAGTGATAGTACTGAAGCAAGACCTGCAGCCAGTGGCCAATCTCCAGAGCACGAACAGAAATCGGTCGCCATAGCACCTGAAACTAGTAATGAGAAAGCACCAGTCTCGTCTGGAAAAACTTGCAAGGAAGCTAAAGAAATGTTCAAAAACTTCATGCTGAACATGCCTTGTGTTTCAACAAGAGGCGATGGACCAAATGGGAAGAAAATTGAAGGATTTTTATATGGATATAAGAAGGGAGAAGAAGTGAGGATAGTCTGTGTTTGTCATGGTGACTTTCTATCCCCAGCTGAGTTTGTTAAACATGCTGGTGGAGGTGATGTACAACACCCTTTGAAGCATATTGTTGTTAATCCTTCACCTTTGTTGTAACAATGGCCTTCGCCCAAAATGGGATTAGCTTTAATATCATTGTTTATCTTCCTTTTGTTTTGTGAACTAAGTTCCTGAATCAAGTTAACAAGGTTAAGCCGATATATTTTGTGTATTTAGGCGTATGCTTCTCATTGCAACCCTTTTCGAATCATTCACCTGGTACTGTGTTGGTGGGAGATAACAAAGAGATAATAGGTAAATAGTTGAGGTTGCGTGCAAGTTGGTTGCGCATCGCTATTATAAGAAACTAGTACTTGACAACTCTTGTTAAAAATGCGATTGTCCAGGTGATCATTTCTGAAATCAGGTTGTCTGGTCTGGGCTTAGTTGGAAGCGCTTTGTTTTCCCTTTGTTAACATAAAGAACCTGCGCTAACACAAAGGTTTTCATGATTTTCACTAAGATATTGTAAACCATATATATATATATATATATATATATATATATATATATATATATATATATAGTGAGGGGCACCTCTTCCAGGCTAAGAAACATATTTATCATTATTCTATCTTCTTGACTCTCACCTCATAATCGTGATAACCTATATTTTTAATAATCTCAATAACTCTCTTGCCTTCTATATCCATAACCCCCAAATATTTAATATGTAAATTTATGATAATTTGTATTTATCTTTTGTCCTTTATTTGTTTTAAAAGTTTTATTTTGGTAACTCACTCCTCTTTAACTTCCACTCTTAATAATATCTATAAGCTTTTCATAACTCTAAATATTTAATTTAAAAATTCTGAAAAGGGCCTGAATTGCCCCTCAACTATTAGAATTGGTCTAAAAGTGCCCCCCATCTACCTTTTGAGCTAAAACTAACCTTACCGTTAATGTTTGGGCTCACAACTGCCCTTGTTACTAACATCCCAGATCCGGTTAGTATTTTTAAGTGACGTGGCGTTAAACTATTGGCTAATTTAAAACCCATCCAAATTATGTCCAACCCACCCATTATACCCAAACCATCACCCAAAGTCAGTCACCAAGCCGTATTTTCTAAACCCAAAAGCCCCTACTCATAAAATACGACTGACTCCCTCCTCCTCTCTAAATTAGGGTTCCCCCGCCCAATTCTTGCTGCTCCTCGTAAATCATATGGCTGCTCTCTGCTATATTTCTTCCAAGATTCAAGTTGAAGATCAAACATAAAGTCCTATCTTTGTTCAAGTAAGTTTTTACTGTTTTTGTTGAATAAACATGGTTAGAGTTTTTAGAAATCTTTCATCTAGTGCTACTTTCGAGTTGTGGGGATTGTTTACTGCCTTTTGATGCTTTTGATGTCATTATTTATCAATTTTGAGGTTGCATATAGTCCCCCTTCACCTTTTGTTGTCTGCTTTTAATTTTTTTTTTTTTATGGATGATAGCAATTTAGGGTTCAGATTTTGTTGTCTGCTCAAATAGTTTTTTATTCTAAGTTTTTGTATTTATTTTTTCATTTATAGTTGGTTGTGGTCCATTAAACTTTATTCTTGTTTGTACTATAGTGTATTAAATATTGATAGATTCCTTCTAACTTTTTCTGTTTATATATCTGATGGGTCACTTTCTACTTTCTTATATGGATTGCATGTGACTTCAACGAAGAATGGTTGAAAAGGTGGACTTGGTCTTTAATTATGAGGGCGGGTGGGTCTTTAACCCTCAAATAGTGTATATTAAAAAACTAAATCACTTGTTGCAAGCCTATGATGTGGATTTGCTGTCTTATATAGACATTTGTTTAGAATACGTTGAAAATGGTGGGTTTAAGAAGGTGGAACAACTTCTGATAACAGGGCCTTCGGGTAGATACTTTCTGGTTGAAGGTGATTCAAAGAATCAGAACACTACAGCAACTCTTATCTAACAAGTTTAGTGTGCTTCAATTCTTTGCTATTGATGAGGGTGAATAACATGTGCCAGCTCCTAGCATAAGTCACCATAATGATCCTTATAGTGTCACAGTAGATGTTGGCACCGATTGTGAGTCAAGTGAGGAAGAGGAGGCATATGAACTTGGCTCTAGTGATTATGATAGTGATCAATTGGATCTCTTTAGTAAGGAAAGGACTAAAGAAGTTAATGTCAAACTAGACAACTATAAAGAGTTGAAACAGGGTATGAGTTTTAAAGATTTGGATGAAGCTAAAAGAATTATGGGGTTTATGCAATTGCTAATAAAAAGGGCCTTAAAGTTTTAAAGAGTGACACTGGTAGAGTTAGTTATAATGTGATGTTGGTTGTCCTTTTAGGTGCTTGATATCTAAGGATAATAAAGATCAAGGATTTAAAATTAAGACTTTGAAAACAAGACATAATTGTCAGCCAGCATACAAGAGTAGAAGATCTACTCCCCAAGCTTTAGCGCACTATTTCAAGAATAAAGTCCAAAATAATCCTAAATATAAAGTGAAAGACATGAGGGTGGACCTAGAGGATTAATTCAAACTCAATGTTAGCTATTCAAAGATGAAGAGGGTAAAGAGGCTTGTGCTAGAGAAATTGGAGGGTAGCTTCATTGATGATTACAATAGGTTAGAGGCATATGCTCAAGAGTTGAGGGATAGTAACCCTGGTTCTGATGTGGTGATAAACATATCTAAAGATGCTTTGGCAGAAGGAAAAAGAAGGTTCCTTAGAATGTATATTTGCTTCCAAGCTTTGAAAACAGGCTGGAAAGCAGGTTTGAGACCTCTTATAGGCCTAGATGGAACATTTCTAAAAGGAAAGTGTAAGGGAATTCTACTAGTGGCCATGACACAAGATTTAGTGAAACATTTTTATCCTCTTGCATGGGCAGTAGTTGATAAAGAAACTGGTAGAACCTGGAAGAGGTTTATGGAGTTACTAAGAAATTCTTTGGAGCTTGAAGATGGTGAAGGAGTGACATTTATGTCAGATATGCAAAAGGTAATTGTTTGTCAATTTTTTAATCTGTATGTTTAATTTACATTTTATTTGTAACTGATGTTCTAAACGTCAATACCACACAAGAGGGGGGTGATTTGTGTGGTACCTAATTTTTGCTCTAGAAGAACCTGGTTCTTCTAGGTGTTCTACTATTGCAGTTTGTAGAATAATAAATGCATAAACTAAAGAACACAGAGATTTTTACGTGGAAAACACCTGGCTCAAAAGGTGAAAAAACCACGACCTACTACTCAGTAGGATTTTCCCAAACTTCCACTAAAATCACTGAGCCAAAACAGCATTTACAAAAACTCTTTGTAAACCTAAGGATTAACTCTAATCCCAGTGTGGCACACAGCCTCAACTGTTGCGACACTTTCAAGTTAACTCTAACTTGAATACTCAAAGTACCTAATACAATTGCTTCTAAATAAGCTGAAAGGTACAAACAGAAATTCCTACTACAATTGAACTAGAATAAGAATAAACACAATGGAACTGGTTCTTCTCTCTCGTTCAAGTAGCTTCAGGAGTGCACACTTATATCTCACATATATTGCTTTCAAAACAGACTTGCTCTTTTGCTCTCAATTATGTTGTACTTCTGCGTATTTTGCAATCCCTGTAAAAGAGAACAAACTCAGTTATTTATTGAGTTAGTAATTAGAGTTTGATTGAGACTCTATTGCTTATCCTTAGACGATTTTGAGTCCTTGGCCAATACGAACTCCAACCCTTATCCAAGATTAGGATTGTGTTCTCTCCTCATAAGGAGACTGTTCTCCTTATCCCAACTGCAATCTTTTCGATTTAGTTCAGAAGATATTGTTGCTTGATCTCTACGGTATATCTTCCTCACATGCATCTCATATGCAATGGTTGATAAACACTGTGTTTCACCAGATGGACCAGGTCCATTACTGAGTTCATTTGTCAATCTTCAAAACTTCAACTGATTTTGGGCCAACAAATTCCCCCTTTTTGATGATGACAAACTCTGTGCTTTTACTGATCAGAGAACCTACGGAACTCAGCTGAAATATCAACACTTAAAATTTTAACTTATCATTAAGGGCCAGATTTAATTAGGTCATAAACATCACTGTTCAGAGTTTAAGCACAATATCTTCCCCCTTTTGGCATCATCGAAAAATTGCATAAATAATGTGAATCCCAGAATATTAATTAGTACTCATGGCCACTGGGGCAACTGCAAGTGAAAGCATGCTTTAGTTAATCAAAAATCATCTTGACAAAAAATAACTATAAAGATCAGAATTAACATAAAGCAAGAGAAATGCACATTATCATTGATAAGCAGTGCTTCTACATAACAGTCCACAAAAAGAAAGAACAAAAACTACCAACCATGAGCAAAAACAAAAGAAAGTCCCGAATCTGGGTCACTGGGGGGTTTTCTAGACTGGTTTGGAACATGAGAAGGAAACCTAAGGCTTTGAGGAGCTAGAGGATTGGGTTTGTAGCAGATTAAGCATGGTTTGGAGCATTCCTTCACTCTTTTCTCTTTCTTTTGCAAGTTCAGCTCTTAACCCATTCCTCTCTTCTTCCAGTTCAACAACTCGAGCTTGAAGCCTTGCAATCTCAGCATCCTTTGTCCCTACCTCCTGAACCAAAGCTCTGACCTTGCTATTTACTGGAGTCTTCACTGATGAACTAGGTTCAACAGGGCCTACACTGAGGATATAATCACAGGCCTGAAGAGTCTTGATGCCAAAATGCTCTTTGCTGGAAGCCATCTCCCATTTCTTCAAGGGAACGTTCAGCTTGTCCAACACAGCTGTCAGAATAAACCCATAAGGGATGGCATGAGCCTTTGAACCATTGAGAACCCTGTCTAGCAGCTTAACAATGAAAGCAGGTCAGTTGATCTGCTTTCCTTCCACCAAGCACTGCATGAGGACCAGGTCCATGTAGTTTGCTGTGTGCCTCCTTTCCTGTCTAGGCAGCAGGCATTTGTTTACAAATTCAAAGAGCACTTTATGCTCTGGCCTTATCTCACTCTTTTGAACAGCCCTTGCTTCAGGAACCTCCTCAGCATCTGTAGTGTCACAGAAGTTCCTAGTGATTTGAAGTTCAGTAGGCAGACCATCCAGGCAAGGCCATTTTTGCCTTGTGTAATCATCATAGCCCTCACTTGGAATGTTCAGGATTCTACCCAACTTAGGTGCATC